CTGCACTGTGTTATCGGACTACAAGGTAGTGTAATGTCTCCCTGCCCTGGCCACAGGTAAGAAGCAGGGAGGCAGCATAAAATAAAAATATTGATTTTTTTTTAAATTAGAAAAGAGAAAACGATAGGTGCCCACAGAAGCCCCTATCCTACCCCAGAAATGTATACACACACACACACAGTATATCCAGTACACAAACATACTGCATTCACTACAGAAACACTGCTTCCACTACACACACACTATATTCACTACACACACCTTGACCTCTACACACACACACACATATTGCATCCACTAAACACACTGCATCCACTACGTACACATACTCCTTCCACTACACACACAATGCATCCAAAACACACACAGAGTGCATACACTATACACACACTACATAGACTTTACTCACAGACACTCTCTGCATCCACTAAACAGACACACACAGGCTTTGAACTGTTGAAGGAATCCCAAAATTTTATGGCAGCCCTGGTGCCCTGAACTCAGCACAAGCACATCTTATGATGCACTCATGCTATGCTTGAGTTCTCTAACACAGCTTTTGATTTCACATGAGCTAATTACAATAAAACGTATTAGGTCGAGACGTTGTGTTACATTGGGCTTCAATAAATTGCCATTTCTGAACTTTGGAGTGCCTGAACCTACTTTATGCTTGTTGGGAACAGTTCCCTGATGCCCCCAAAAGGAGGACACCTAGGATCTAAGTCAGGCTGAAAATGTGAATATGGGATAGCTGATAGGCAGGGTTATTCCAGGGTCCAAGGGTTACTCCTGGGTTACTCCAAGCATCACTCCAGCGCCCAGAGAAGGGAGCTGCAGAGAGCTGCAGAGCGATGCAGAGAGATGTAGAGAGATGCAGAGAGAGACGTGGGGGGGGGGGGTTAAAGGACAAGATCAGCGATGCAGGGGGCAAACCTTTGAATGCACACCAGGCTGCCTGCCAATCATCTAAGGCCAGCCCCTGAGAGCAGGCCCTGCGGGGAGAACTGTCCTGGACACCAGTTAACTAAGTCAGGATGGCATAACCTGACCCAAAAATCGTGACTGTCTTGCCAAAATTGAGATGGTTGGGAGGCCTGCAATCATCAAGACCCTACAGCATGCTGTTTTGCTATAATGGGCCAAACTGTTTAGCAACAGTGTTGTGTTTATATCTGTCCTGATAATAAGGAATTAGAAAAGTAAAAGTTTTCACACTTTTATTTTCATGTTGAAGAGAATTTGGGAATATTCACTAACAATTCAGGTGAGTACAGATATTTTGTTTTAAGTTTAACACCTAAAACCTTTATAAATGACAGAATGATTATTTTTAGGTACTCTCCTGTGAAGGAACATTGAGCGTTTAGTAAACAAGGTAAGTATTGTAGAATTTGTTTCTCTTCAAATAGGAAGATATTCCTCTTGTTAATCAAAGGAGAAAGGAGATATAAACAATGTCCTTAAAATCCAAAACCGGGTTAGGATGCCAGTTAAACAGTCCGAAGCCTCAAATCCAATTAGCTGAATCCCTTAAAACAATCCAAATCATCACTGGGAGATCAAATTTTTGAGGGTACTATCCAAGGTTGAAGTCCTTCAAACAGTCTGAGTGGATATCAGGTTTATCAGTAGATAGAGGGGTAATCCAGTGCCAGCGTCCTTTAAACAGTCCACGTTGGTACCCAGTTTATCAGTAACTAGAGGGTAATCCAAAGCCGAAATCCATTAACTGTCCGAGTCAAATACCATTAAAAAAAGTAGCAAAATGATTTTCGACCTTACGAAGAAGAAAATTCAGAAATTGTAGATAGGGCCCTAGAAATGCTTGTCCTATGAAGAGGAATAGTGTTAAACATGTAGCATGCAATCTAACTTATTAACAGAGTGCAAGCACTGACGAAGCACACTCTTAACATGATGAGTTACGTCCGTCGGTGGACATACTGTGGAGTTACTGGGTGGCCACCATTTCATGTATCAGAGGCACATGGTGAGAACAATGGATGGCGGCCATTTTAACTCACAGACACTGTTTGGACTTTTCTACACGGTGCCATCTCGCCGGTATTTGGTGCACAAAGACATCGTGCAGTAGTAGGGGAGGATTTTGTGTGGGAGTGTCTGTGTGTATCATATGGATTGATTGGTTGTATTTCAAAACCCTGTGGGCTGTACTATGTTTGTGGATTGTGAATAAAAGAGGCTGTATGTGTCAGTACAGTCAGTTCTGCTTGACCTCAAAACGAAGTGTCGTCTCGTTATTGGGGGAATTGGATTGTATGCTGATTGCCAGGAGTGTAGGCTAATTGTATGCTTTTCCTGTTCAGCTGCTTACAGCATTTATATGCTTGAGAGCATTCGTATGCTTCAGGGGTTCGGTGGTTGTGGTGTCTGCTGCAGTGCTTGGAGTCCTCAGGAAGTGCTAGGAGCATCCTTCAACGGAGGTACCCAGTCGGGGTGCCAGGTGATCTGTTACATTGGTGGCAAGCGGTGGGATGGCATCCTAGTGTGAGGTAAAGCAGCTCAGAGACACCATTCGTGGAGTAACAAATTGAGGGCAACGCTAGCACTCGTGCAGTGCCCCTGGGAGCAGAGGTATCCAGCGACTGGGAGCAGACAGGTAGGCTGTGGCTCTGAAGATGATTGGCTGGCCGAGGTGAGGCAGCGAGTGGCCCAGTATGGGGATGATGTACCCATGGAGATACGCCGGGTGATCTGGAACCATGGCCGAGCGAAACACAAGGCTGGACCGAGAATTCCGGCTGGCGAAAGAGAGAGAGTATGCTCAGCGGAAGGAGTGTTACAGCAGCCGAGTAGAGGCTGCATCCGAGGAGGTTAGCCGTCTCCCCCTGAGGCGGCCGGAGGAACCCGAAGTAGGGGTCCTCATAGACTGGTCCTGTGAGGCAGGTGGAGATGGGACCAAGCAGCAGCGGAGTTGCCAGGTGCGGAAGCAGGTGGTCCTTACTCGCAAATGTTGAGGGACCTCACAGACTGGTCCTGAGAAGACCCACAGATGGCAGGTGCGCACGCTCACACACACACACATTGGGTCGCTTATGCTCTGTTTCTTCGTCTCTTTACGCTGTGGAGTTTCAGCTACTCCTACCTTCTTTTAGCGTCCTGGTCTCTTCCTCGCTTTGCTGCAGTTCTCCCAAGTCCACCTTTTTTTTTTTCACTCCCCGGCAGCCTTTCGGACAGCCGTACTCTCAGCGTCTGTCCGTCTCCACGGGTTACGCTGTTGCTGTAGGGGGCCCCGATTTCGCTCTTCTCCGCTACTGTTGTCTATGGGGTGGTTTCGGATGACAACTTGGGTACTTGGCATCTGCCGCTCTGGATGGTTCCGAGCCAGACTTCAGGCATCTTTTTCATATGATCTCTCCTGTGCCTCCTCTACGCTTTCCGCCTAGCTCTGCCCACGGCCTCTCCCGTAGCCGCTGCTGTTACATGCGTTTTCGCGATCCACTCGCGGACTGCCAGCCTTGTTAGCTTGTTGTCATCATCTTTCACGTCTGGCTCTTTCTACTAGCACTCGCGGTACATGTGTTAGGGCCTTCTTCTCCTTTGAGGGCCTTTTCTGTTGCTGTCTCTTTTGATTTGTTGTCTGCAGTTGTTTTTTTTTTTTTTGCAACCTCTGACTTACATCTACTCTACCTATCTGCATTACTACTTCACATGCTGCACGGGTTTACCTTTCATACGCAGTTTTTCATGTCTGCATACCAGATTAGTACCTTGCACAAGACATTTCCGGTACCTGGGACACTTTTCACATCTTACAGATTTCCCACCCGCATCCAATTATTTCAGTCACTATCATTCATTTTAGATGCCCGTCCTTTTGAACCAAGCACCAACCTTTACATGTAGGGCTATAATTGCTTGATCCAAGGAAAATCTGACTGCCATTATGGGGTCAAGAAGGAATTTTTTCCCAGCTTGTTGCAATTTGGCAGCGCTTCAAACTGGGTTTTTCGCCTTCTTTTGGATCAACCATTTTTAACACAAATGTGAGGCAGGCTGTACTTTATGGGCACTAGTCACTTTAACTTTGCATCTAGTTGTTTAGCCACTATTCTTGCTTGCACAGTTTCTTGGGTCTCACATACTGTCCCACAACCACCACATCCTTCTTGCAGCATTATCTTAGGAAGTCTCACCTATTCATGCAACCTACTGATTACCCTCTCTACCCCACACTTAGTCTACCCTAAGTGGCCAACACGTTTAACATACCTTACTTCCCCTTGCACAATTAAAAGTGCCGGTTTAAGTGCTGGGCAACTATTTCCCCGCTCTGCATTTTTTTCGCATACAGCTAGGCAATTAGGTTTTTGTTGATTGTTTTTCGTTTCTGATAGGTACCCAATTTTTGCCCTCTTTTATTACAGGCCTACCACAACGTCGGTTCCGGCACACCTCAACCAACTTTTCCTTTACGGCCTTATTTTCCCCTCACACAAATGTTAGGGCTTGGCCTGCAGTTGTGGGAGGGGCATGGTACCTATTTAAACCCCCTACTCACCTTCCTCCGTCCCGTACGTTTTTTCTTTTTAGCGACTCGCATGTCCCCACCCTCCACACCCTCTATCAATACTTTCATTACACCTCAGGGGTGGGCCCTCTTTTATTACAGGCCTACCACAACGTCGGTTCCGGCACACCTCAACCGACTTTTCCTTTACGGCCTTATTTGCCCCTCACACAATAATATTTTAAGTAGCGTTAGCTGTGGTGCTTGGAATCCCCCTTCTAAAAAGTCACAGGTAAGGAGCTACACAACTTAGATTGTTTAATACACAGGTATATTTAACATAGGAAATTCCACTCACTACTTGAAGTGACTCATTATCAAGCCTTAGGCTAATTTACCAGGTTGAAATCCAAGTTTCACAGCTTCAGTATGTAGATCACATTCCCACTGATAATAGGCAAAAACAAACAAACAAAAAAAACACCTTGTTTTCTTATACAAGGAAATGTTGCGTATTAATGTATGAGGAGGGGTGTGGAGTTTGTACTTGCTCTATATAACACCTGGCTTCATGCAAGGGAAGCACATTACCCTTTCTTGTCTTGCTGCAGACATGCAACCAACAACAATGTATTTCCTGATTCATTTTGCATTCATCTGTTGCCTGCAACTTTCCGAAGGTAGGATCTGACATTAATATCAGCAAAAAGTATATTAATAGAACATGTTTTTGAGATACAATATATAGAAAATGTTGCATTTGGGATTTACTTTTCCCAGTGCATTTTTTACTAACAGCTCAATGCATCAGGGGAGTATACTCTGCACCATGTATTAACCTTATTGCAATATTTAGGTTTTCCCGTTACTAAAGCTGATGCTTTGAGACAGAGAATTGACAAAGAAAAATTGTATTTTATGGTATTACATTCTTGAGGCATTTGCGGGCTCATTTGTGGTGCTGTTGGGCAGATAAGGGGTTACAGATTCCAGTGAGATATCTTTATCTTTGGCAGATAAGATCAGAGCAGGATTAACCATTAGGTAAGCCTAGGCGAATGTCTAGGGCTCAGGGGTTAGACACGAGGCCAAAAACCATACATTTGCTGGGTCCCTTTAACCATCCCTTTGTGAATAATGAAGGAGGGGGGGGAGAGGGGGGAGGGGGCAGGGGCAAATTAGTGACCTGCCTAAGGTCTTGTTCTTTCTCTGGATAAGAGGTTAAAAGTCTCAGTTAAAATATTTGTCTCTTTGCAGAGAGCATGTGCCAGTTAAGGATTCTGTCTTCCTAGCAGAAAGAATGTTAAAGGATCACTATAGGATCAGGAACACAAACATGTATTCCTGACCCTATAGTGCTAAACCCACCATTTATTTAGGAGGCTTGCCCCCCCCTCCCCTTAGCCCTCCTATAAAGGTATAAAACTCACCTTATTTCGAGCGATGTGCGGGTCTGCCGACGCTGGCTCTGCCCCCGTTGTGGCATAATTGAAATGGCCAATTTTTAGGCTAAAATCGGCACAGGGGCAGGGCCAAATGCCGTTTTGGCCAATCAGGACCTCCTCATAGAGATGCATTTCTCTGAAAAGGTAGTGTTTACATGAAAATGCCTGAAGGAAGCTATTATACTGACCAGAACAACTACATTAAGCTGTAGTTGTTCTGGTGACTATAGTGTCCTTTTAAATGTAATTTTTGGGATTAACTTGAAGTTTAACAGCTAATGGGATTGTCTATAGCAGAGACCGGTTAAACTGTTTTGCATTTCTCTTAAATTATTATTTTAAAACATTGGCTACCAAAATTGCTTGCAAATATATAAATATTTATTTAATGTTAATAACTACCCAAGTCTGTGCTAATTCACTTTAAAAATCTCAGCTTTAAAAAGTAAAGTTACAAATCACAGTCACAGTGATTTAAAGGGATGCTAATATATTACCATGTTGAAAAGAACATTACAGTGCCAGATGCACCATTGTACGTCATGTTATAATAATACAGGGTACAGCAGTGTATCTCATGATGTAAGTTTAGGGAGGCTTAGGGTTAGCATGGTGGCTTAGAGTTAGAAAATGTTTAGAATTAGGGAGCATAAGGTTGTTGAAATTTATAGTCAAGGGCTAGGGGATTCCTGCATTCAAGTTTTTAACCGCACATTTAATGAAATGTATTTGTTATAGACAGAATCTCTTTGTTACTCCCCCTAATATACTCCCATTTCCATTAGCCATTTGTGCAACATAGCCCAGGCATGCTATTTTCATTCAAATATAATTTCTAGACTTGTGCAAAGTGCATATGCCAGTTCAACTCGACAGAATTTCGGTTCCCAAAATAAAAATTAATTGAGATATGAATCAGATAAACCAAAAGGCCATGAAAATGTGCCAAAATATATACATAGTATAATATTATGTTTATATTTTGCATTACATTGACTGGAGAATAGAGGAGCGGTACAAAAAAATAAATCTATATTTAAGGAATGTAATTTTTTTATTCCTTCTCCTTTTTTCTCTTTATTGGTTACTTCTCACTTGATTTGTGAATAAAATGAACAATGTCTACTAACATGATTGTTCACTAAGCGATCAATCATCATTTTCGGGCATCAACCATCTAATTTTTTGGTGCCACGTGCTAAATTCAGAATCACAAATGAAAACGAACATGTGCATAGCTCATTTAGTTCATGATTGAGGAGACATTTTCTCTTGGAGTTCAGGAATTCAACTGATCACCCGAGCAGCCCAAATTCGGGTGACTTGCAGTTCAGACCGAGACAAATCTCCAAGTCTAATAATTTACACGTACCCTTTACCATTGTAATTTACCTCCAGATTAAAAAAATGTGGCACCTCGTACAATAAACAGTAGAGAACCAAAGGTGTCACATGAATACAAAGTGACCACAAGGTTACATTTCCAGTCCACTCCACTAAGATCCTAAAGGAGAAAATAATAATAAATAACAAAAGAACTTTATTAGCAACTCTAAAAAGTATTAGGACAAATTAAACAGTGTAGCCTAATAGGAGGGGGAACAGCCCTGAGTGAGATGCTCAATAATAGATAGTCAATAATAAGCATACCACACTAGTTCCAAACGGGTATGGATTGGCAGTATGAGAACTAACTGAAGAGGTAGCAATCTCCCCCTTTATGTGTTTAAGCCCTCATGGAAGTATATACAGCACTTGTTATGACAGAGCCTAGTGTGATCTTCCAGAAGCAAAAACTAAAACGTAAAAGGAATAGTGAGAGGTATGCTAAATGGTAAGAATGTTCGCGTATCCTACACTTAAAGGGGTGGAAAGTTTTGCCCACATATTTTAGTCCGCAAGAACATGTGAGCAAATACACCACAACTATTGAGCGACAATTAAAGAAAAAACGAGATTGAAAAGTTTCCGTATTACTGCTGTTGGAGAATATCTTTGATTGTCTGTTAATGAAAGGACACGCACTACAATGTCGACACTTAAAGGGACACTATAGTCACCTGAACAACTTTAGCTTAATGACGCAGTTTTGGTGTATAGAACATGCCCCTGCAGCCTCACTGCTTAATCCTCTGCCATTTAGGAGTTAAATCCCTTTGTTTATGAACCCTAGTCACACCTCCCTGCATGTGACTTGCACAGCCTTCCATAAACACTTCCTGTAAAGAGAGCCCTATTTAGGCTTTCTTTATTGCAAGTTCTGTTTAATTAAGATTTTCTTATCCCCTGCTATATTAATAGCTTGCTAGACCCTGCAAGAGCCTCCTGTATGTGATTAAAGTTCAATTTAGAGATTGAGATACAATTATTTAAGGTAAATTACATCTGTTTGAAAGTGAAACCAGTTTTTTTTTCATGCAGGCTCTGTCAATCATAGCCAGGGGAGGTGTGGCTAGGGCTGCATAAACAGAAACAAAGTGATTTAACTCCTAAATGACAGTGAATTGAGCAGTGAAATTGCAGGGGAATGATCTATACACTAAAACTGCTTTATTTAGATAAAGTAATTTAGGTGACTATAGTGTTCCTTTAAAAGTACCCATTTGTAGATATTTCTTAAAATAACCAATTGAGGTGGCATTTGAAAAGTGGCTTGGTGATAAAAGATCCCTCAAATTTCTACCTCTACGTGCCGTGATAGAAGGTGATGGTGTAAGTACATTTTTGAGGTGTTTATCCGAGCTAAGCGTGGGCCAAAATTTGTGTAAGATATTTTTACGTTATCCCAGCCGGCATCAAAAGTGCCAATGCATCTTATGGGGCTAGCTTCCACCTTCCGGGTATCTTCACTAATTGTGGCACCTCGTACACCGACCACAGAGGCCAGAAATGCTCCAATTTGTACACAAGTGTATTTAAAAAAATTATGGACTCAAAACTCTTGATGGTGTAGAAAAGGCTGCGATTTGCATTCTTCACCACAGCATTAAAAATTATACATTATTGCGCACATAAAATACACTCCTTGTTTTCTTGTAATTAATTCTTATTAAGGATTACCCCTGTCGTTAACACTAAAAGAGTCAGCCACCCCTAATACTCCATCTATTCATTACTGCCCAATATCTTTATAAATCAGATTGGTCCTATTGTAGTTATTGGTTTTATTACATTAGAATTGCCTCTGGAATGTTATTACCGTATATACTCGAGTATAAGCCGAGTTTTTTGGCACATTTTTTGTGCTGAAAAACCCCAACTCGGCTTATACTCGAGTCAGTCTGTATTATGGCAATTTACATTGCCATAATACAGACTGGGGGCTGGCAGAGCTGTTACTTACCTCTCCTGCAGCTCCTGTCAGCTCCCTCCTCCTCCACGCCGGTCCGGTCAGCACCTCGGTCAGCTCCCAGTGTAAGTCTCGCGAGAGCCACGGGGTCATAGTGCGGCTCTCGCGAGACTTATAGTGTGAGCTGACAGAAGAGCTGCACGGACCGGCGCGGAGGAGGAGAGAGCTGACAGGAGCTGCAGGAGAGTTAAGTAACAGCTCTGCCAGCCCCCCTCCTCCCCCCACTGAACTGCCAATGCCACTGGACCACCAGGGAAGGAGAGCCCCCCTCCCTGCCATGTATCAAGCAGGGAGGGGGGACAATAAATAAATAAATTAATAATACATAAATATAAATAATAATAATAAAAAAATAATATAACAAAAAAAATCAAATAATATTAATTAATAATATATAAATATAAATAATAATAAAAAAATAATAAAAAAAATTATATAATCCAAAAAATTAAAATAATAAATAATAATATTAAATTAATTTTTTTTTATATAAAAATGCCCACCCCCCACCAAGGCTCTGCAACACAAACACACACTGCATCACACACACTGCACTCATACACACACACTGCATTCATACACACACACTGCACTCATACACACACACTGCATTCATAAACACACACTGCACTCATACACACACACTGCATTCATACACACACACTGCACTCATATACACACTGCATTTATACACACACTGCGCACTCATACACACACACTGTAAATAAATATTCAATTAATATAATTTTTTTAGGATCTAATTTTATTTAGAAATTTACCAGTAGCTGCTGCATTTCCCACCCTAGTCTTATACTCGAGTCAATAAGTTTTCCCAGTTTTTTGGGGTAAAATTAGGGGCCTCGGCTTATATTCGGGTCGGCTTATACTCGAGTATATACGGTATGTTGTTATAATTGAACGACAGATGTAATTGTACTGATGCTACTCATTTATGGTTCCCATATCGACTGTAACTCTGAACCTTTGTGTACCTTCTGTAGTTTTTGTTCCATTTGTACAAAAAAACAACAACAATAAAAAAGGAGTCAACCAGCTCACGTTAGTTAATTTTTTACGTACTCACTACTGCCAGGTCTAGACAGTGTCACCATTTTCAAGCAGTTTGGAAAAAGCTAGGGCTCAAGATGTAGTTGTCTACTCTGTCCTAGAAATGCAAAACAAAATGGAGTAATAGGCATTAACAGTCCTAAATTCATACACTCATTGCCACAACAAGAATGCATGAGAGATATAATAATAATGGATCGCTGAGTAATGGAAGTAGACATACCATTTATGATACCTGTGATTATCCCTATCACTTTGTGGTACGATGAGGAGATCTATTCGTGGCCTATATATTCCAACTCATAACTTAGCACTAAATAATTAAAAAATCGTTTTGTGTTCAATAAACGTGGGGTTTATGGGAATTTGCATATCTTTTAAGAATGTAACTGACATACAACTCTGTCACAAATAAATAAGGAACTCTGGAACTCTGCTTTTAAAGGGACACTACAGCTATCAGAACAACTACAGCCAAATGTAGTTGTTATGGTGTCTTCATCCTGTCTCTACAGGCTTTTCAATGTAAACACTGTCTTTTCAGAAAAAAGGCAGTGTTTACATTACTGTCTAGGGACACCTTCCTAGTCCACTGCTGCACACTGTGCAGCACCAATGTTCAGCGTCTCCACACGGCCACTAGAGGTGTCCCAGGTGCCGAATGTTCTGTGTAGAGATGCATTGAGTCAATGCATCTCTATGAGGAGATGCTGATTGGCGCAGTGCGGTGGTTTGCCACGCTTTACCAGACATACAAAGATAAATACACACTCACAGATATACTTTTTAGGCTACATACATTCCCAAACAAATAAATGCAGAGACATACGTTTACAGACACACACAAATACACACATACAGACACAGATACACACATAGATATACACTGCTAGACACACACACATTCTGAAACATACACTAACACACATTGCCACACAACAGTCCTAGATCCTGCTGGACCTTCCTGATTATGGTATCCTGTCCCACCATCCCAACAAGAGCTATGCAAGAGCATCATAAGTGCTCTCACTTAATGCTAAAAGATTGGAGACTACGACCATGCAGGGAGCCTTTAGCAGCACTGTTTGCCCTGAGTGGGGCTGGCCAGGAATGCTATCAGTGAGCCACTCATACGAGTGCTGTCACTGGCACACTACCATAGGACAGTCCACCTTTTGTCATGATTTAAAACTTCCCAATTTTACAAATATGCAGATGCACATTGTCACATACAGATGCACACACACATATACAAACACTGCTACACATACATACACAAAAACTGGTACACACAGATACACACACAATGCTACAAACCCCTTTAGAATTAATTGTAAAGGTGCAGAATATTTTAGTCACCCTACCATTTCTATACATTTTGGGTGGAGGAGGGTGGCTTCCCTGGGGTTCAGTAGGGGTGGTTTGGGGTTGATGCAGGTCGCTTGGCTCAGTGTGTGTCCCGGGAGGAAGTGATCGGCTATTACTTCCCTTGGTCCCAGCAGTGCTGTGTGGAGGCCATGTTGTTCCTGTCTGGGGAACCTAGCTCATTAACATGCTCCTGTTTGGGATGATATTTATATATTTGCAACCACACCACAAGTGGACCCCTGTGCTTGATCATAAGATAAACTTTTATGCCCCGATAGCAGCCCTGAATCAGCAATGAGAGGGTTCAATTAAATGTATAGATCAGTGGTTCCCAAACTTTTTAAGTTCAAGGCATCCCTTAATATTTCAATATTTTGCCCAAAGTTAAAATTATTTCATAGGTTGTATATATGTACAGCGCAGTGGCATATACTGGGCTTTTGTTTGGCAGAAATGGACGCCATTCAAGCGCAGATCCAGAACCTAATCTCGGGAGGGCCACTGGTAGATTATTTAAAGAAACAACCCAGGCACAATAACCACTACAGCACTTTTTAGTGGTTATGATGCCAGCACTGCCGTAGTGTCCTCCCAGAGTAAGTTTAAGAACAGTTTGACGATGTACCTGGGATCTCCCGAAATAGGGGCTGTAGTAAGGGGTAGGGGCAGTAGTGTGTCTGAGGGGTACAATATGTGTGTGTGTTTGTGTGTGTGTGTGTGAGAGTGGTGGAGTGTGTGTGTGTCTGTATATGTGTGAGGCAGTGTGCATCTGTATGTGACAATGTGCATCTACATATTTGTAAAATTGGGAGTGCAGTGTGCGTGTGTGTAGCAGTGTAAGTGTGTGTGCGGGTGTGCGTGCATGCGTGCGTGGGTTGCAGTGAGTGTACAGGGGTGCATTGTGTTTGTGAAGGATGTAGTGTGTGTGAGGGGTGCAGTGTGTGTGCATGTGGGGCAGTGTGTGTGTGAGGGGAAAGTGTGTGTGGGGGGGCAGGTTGTATGAGGAGTACAGTGTGTGTGAGGGGTACAGTGTGTGTGGGGCAGATTGTATGAGGGGTACAGTGTGGGGCGGGGGCAGTGTGTGTGTGAGGGCAGTGTATAAGGGGTAAAGTGTGTGTGAGGGGTTCTGTTTGTGTGTCTGCAAAATTTAGGCAGAAATACGAGACGAGTCATCATCATAATCTGACTATTGTGGCCTGAATTTTGGAAGCATTCACACCATTTTAGACTGGCATGACTTCTTACCTTGGGAACAGCTTCCTGCCTCCATGCCTTGTAGTGCTGGGTTACCTCATTGATCACCATCTGAAAAAAAATTATTATAAACTAACAAGCATATATACAAGACACTACATAAGAGAGAATACATATAAGATTTTAAAAAAGTACTATTTTGTAGGAGGTCTATATGGTCCTACTCACCTTTTCCAGAGCTATAAGACAAGCTCTAGTGTGGATGGCATACAGTGGTACAATCCCCACTTATAAGTTATGTGAAGTTTTGTAGTAGATGTATATCATGTTGTTATAAAGACCATGTGAAATATAAAAGAAACAATAATAGTGCTTATTGTATAAAAGCGAAAGGTGAATTAATAAAATACCAAGTGGTTACTCACATTTTATTGAGCAGGGAGACTGCTCAATGGATAAAGCTTGGATAAAAACTCTGGTGCCAGGTAAAAATAAAGGTAAAATAAATAAAAGAGTAAAATGGCTGACTCACAAGTTGAAAGTGGCCAAAATACTTCAAAGTGGTATTTTAATTGCTATATTTTATTAAATGTATTTTGGCCACTTTCAACTTGTGAGTCAGCCATTTTACTCTTTTATTTATTTTTACCTTTATTTTTATCTGGCACCAGAGTTTTTATTGTTCCAGTGAGAATTTTACTCCAAATAATCATTGGTGGGGACTATACCACTCAAGCTTTATCCATTGAGCAGTCTGCCTGCTCAATAAAATGTGAGTAACCACTTGGTATTTTATTATTTCACCTTATACATTAAGCCCTATTATTGTTTCTTTTATATTTCATATGGTCCTTATACCAACAATATCCATCTACTACAAAACTTCCCATATCCCATAAGTGGGAATTGTACCACTATATGCCATCCACACTAGAGCTAGTCTTATAGCTCTGGAAAACGTGAGTAGGACCATATAGATCTCTTACAAAATAGTACTTACTACTTGCTGGGATATACTGCACCATTATTTGCTGTCCTTTTATTTTTTTCATACGGATCTCATACTGAGGAATACTTCCCCTGACTAGATTGTGATTGACTTCTTATACAATAGTAAAAATGTAGATGTCCATAATCCAGATTATATCTAACAGGGCTAGAAAAGGGCAAACAAGTGACATGTGAAAAATAAATCCAACACCACTTTATCCTGCAACTGGAAGTCTCCATCTTAGATCCCTGTCAATCATTGTTATAAGCTCTGGCCTTTGCACCTGTCAGTCAACATAGAGAAAGCATACAGTGCAGGGGGAAATGAAACAATGTTTTTGTGTCTCCTGCTTACTTGCAATGTTTGCCCTGGCTTTGCCTTGACTAAACTGGATTGTGGCATAATTTGCTAAATATTTCATATGCATTTAAAGGGACTCTCCAGTGCCAGGAAAACAATCCGTTTTCTTGGCACTGCAGGTCCTCTCTCCCTCCCACCACCCATCCCCGGTTGCTGAAGGTGTGAAAAGCCCTTCAGTGACTTATGTGAGACCCCAAGCCGATGTCCCTCGGCGGTGGTTTCCGGTTCGCCGCCGCTCCTCCCCTTCATCACGTCAGCCGGCGGGGGAGACTGATCCCACCTGCCAGCTGAGGAGACATAATGCATTAGAGCTCTCCATAGGAAAGCATTGAAAACCTGTGCTATGAAGCAGGAAGTGCCCTCTAGTGGCTGTCTAATAGACAGCCACTAGAGGAGGAGTTAACCCTGCAAGGTAATTATTGCAGTTTATGAAAACTGCAATAATTACAGTTGCTGGGTTAAGGGTAGTGGGAGTTGGCACCCAGACCACTCCAATGAGCAGAAGTGGTCTGGATGCCTGGAGTGTCCCTCTAAGAGAAAATCAAACCAAGAAAAGGTTAATGCTATGTTTTTAACGTCATTGATTACTTTCAGTGCTTTAGTCTATTGTGAAATTTTCAGAGTAGTCCCAGTTTCCCTTTAAGAGTACAGAAGGTTTATAAAATGCACAATGATAAAGTGAAGGTTTGCCGACTTTGTTCCCTGGTTGATATTCTCTTTAGAAATAAAGTATCAGCCTACAAAGCTGTGACATGTTTATTATCCTATTATTAATGGCTGTGAAGTAGAAGGTACATGTAAAGCTGTTATTTATCTAATCATTTCCTGCTTGGCAAATAATAACACAGTAGCTGCTGGCAGCAAAGAGTGTGACTATTAAACCAATGTTGCACTGAGGGAGCGCCCACTGGGCTACCTGCCTGCAAGGGGAAGAGTATAACGTCTGCACACTGACAACAGAAGTAAGTTGTGCACAGAATTGACATTAGTTAGCCTTGAACAGAGGTCTGGGATGCCAAAGTCATGTGTGCAGGGCGTGCAACTTTACAACATCACACAATTAAAAATATCTCATGCTGACTCCTACCACCATGACCACTTCAAATCAGTGAAGTGGTTATGATGGTTGGAATAACCCTTTTATTTCCCTATTTAGTAGATATCACTGTGATGATGCATATTATATATGCTTTTCTGGTGATATCATTGCTGTTGTTTCACTAAGCCACAATTTTGGAATAAAAATGAACATGCTAATTAAATTAGGTTCCGTTCAATTGAGTGAATTCCATTGCATGCTTCTGCTACACAGGGGCTTCGCCTGGAGAAAATAGCTATACATGAGTTGGGAGAGCATTACCCATGAGCTATGAAACCAATTTCAGTGGCCCATTGGCAGGGTCACCTACCAGAGTTGAGTTATCCATAAATTAGTCCAAGTTGGGTGTACTGTTTTTAATGAGTGTACAAATGTGGTAATTATTCTTTTTAATCTTAAAATCGTTCTGTTCTAGTTTAGCTAATGTATCTGTATCATTTAATGAGCACACGGTTATTTTCATATTCAGCATTTTGCTTTGTAATTCTATTTTCTATTCTAATTTCTATTTTGAATTCTTTGCTATTCCTGAATATAGAGATGGTATTCTTTCATGATAAGAATTGTGATAATGTGTATTTTCTTCTTTGTCTTGTAGCTTTCATGAGTTACCAAATACAGTGTTGCACTGAATATCGAGACCACATTCCCAAAAAGGTTTTAAAGAGAGTAGAAACCTACAAAATCCAGGCTGCCAATGGAATATGTGATCTGCGTGCTATAGTGTAAGTAAGATTTTTTTGTAAAGAGTTCAATAACCCCACGGATTATTTCTCCTGTAGAATGCCATCAGTCACCGTCATCATATAAAGATTTATATTCTATAAAAATATAACAGACCATCTTTGCTATCAAAATCCAGTTATTTAAAAAAAAAAAACATTTTCGTCCTCTTCTTTTTTTTTTTGTTTGCATAAATACCATGTATGTATTGTATGTAAAATAAAAAACACTTTATAAAATAAAGGTGTAGCTACTAAATAGTGATTTTAAATATATATATATATATATATATATATTGTCTCTGGGAATCAGAACAATAGGTTCTTTGTACTCATCATAAAGTAATTGTTTTCTTGTTTTACGTTAAGAGGGAATTTATTTGAAATCCCCTTTACTATATTTCCTTGTTCTGTTTGGTTTTTTGGACAGGTTGCGCACAAAGCGCAGGACATTATGCATGAATCCCACAAATAAGCAAGTCTTGAAATGGATCAAGAAGAAAAAGAAAAGTGCGCAATGCGAGACGACGTCAACATGCCGTGGCAAAAATAAGAAAAACAAAAAAAGAAAGCGAAAAAGAACAACGTTTTTAAAAGTTTAAAGGGCTCATCGTGCACTAATGACTACTGACAATAGGATCGACTCTTGCTACCACTTATGAAGTGGACATAATCAACTTACTTAAAACCTTTTTAGCTATCACAAAGAAATGTAGGGGCAGGTAACTGGATTGAGGATATACCGAAGGTTTACTAGAATAAACTGCATTTTTAAGGCATAGCGTTTTAAACATACATTTATCCCTGTGAATCTATTAGCAAAAAACTGGACAGTGATATCGCACCTTCGGACTGCAAAATGTTTTGTAAATTACATTTCCCATGATGTTCAGTGGGCAAGCTTTGCAATTAAATTGTGAAAAATGACATGCATATTTTAGAGAATTTTGCCTACAAGTATAAACAAGACACTAACAGGTGGTTTTAAGACACTGTCACGGATATTCAAGCAAGATAAAAAAAAAAAAAAAATATTCAAAGCTTGTTTTTTGGAATCGATTTTCAATCCTCTCAAGAGTCAGTAAAGATAAGGTTGAATGTGAGCAAGTCAGAGGAAAAAGCTGTGTAAGCACAAGCCTAAACAACTACAACTAAAACAAGATATAGTAAACTAATAAAGTGAAATAATCGCATAAGTCAGATTCAGTTAAAGCATTAAAAGGGCAGACAATTTGCAAGAAATACGTGGTTGCCGAAAATTTTGCTTGATGTGTGATTTCTACATGTGACACATGAGAATGTGGTTAAACTTGAAAAAGTAAATGTAACAAGACAAAAAAAATGGGAAGAAAAATGACACGTGGTAGAAAACTGTATAGAACAGTGTAGGCAACCTTTTAGAAACAAGTCTCTAAAATCCCTTGGCTGGTCCTATTTTATTTAAATTAAAGTGTGTATGTTGCCTTATTCTGCTTGTGTTATGTAACAGTGCTGCAGTTGCTTTGTAGGATTCTATTTGGGCAAATGTGAGCGGTGTTATATGTGTAAGCAGTTAGTGGTAGTATGTGTTACATATATATGTGGGCTGTGTATCATGTGTGAATGTGGGCTGTCTATGTAGGACTGCTCGTGGAATTGTGAGAGTGTCAGATTGTATTGTGCGTGTGTGTGGTGTTATGTATATGTTTGGGTACTGCGCGTGTGAGGCTGCTTGTGGTGATGTGTGCAAGTATGTGTGTTGTCAGTGGTATTTTGTTCATGGTGGCTGTGTGTGTGCTGTTTGTAGTATTTGCCTGCTGGGGACTCTTCTTCTGCGGCTGTGTCTGAATGTCTTGCTATGTAGGTGGTTTCCTTGGGTTCCAGTGGGGAACAGGATGGCCAGGTACAGGTCAAGTGCAGGGGCTACATTAACAGCTGAGGGCTGCTCTTATCCAGTGCGGATTCCCCTTTACAAGCAGTGGGAGGAAGTGATTTGAGATCAATTCCTCCATGTGCTGCAATGACTAAATTGAGGACTGCACCACATCAACTGCTGCAATCACTGCTTGGCCAAACATTCAGCTGGAACCAGCAGATATCTGAAGAAATCTCACTGGGGCCACTTATAGGCCAGCCCCAGGCGAGATCCTAAGATATCCTCATCCTGTTTGGATCTGGCAGCCTTGCTGGCCATTTAAAGCTAAATTGACCACGTGCATGGCACACGTGCCATAGGTTGCTGAACCCTGGTATAATGCATTCTCACAAGGTCTTAATAAACCTCTGAGCACTTCTATAATTACCAGGAAATAGTCTTCATGTGTGCAACTCAACTAAGTTTCTCTCTCTCTCTCTCTCTCTCTCTCTCTCAATGTTATATATGTTTTACTTTCCATAGTGCATATTTCTCTGAACAAGTCAACAATGATAAATAACCAATTTAGTTTTTATCCCCCATCATAGATACGCCATCATATCTAGCATATGAAACACAATGGAGACTGTGCATAAGATGCAATTGTGTGGGTGAAGAGCTAGTGTATGGAGCAATTTGCGGTGCCGTTCTGTTGGTTTCCATAGTGATTTTTTTACTTTTAGATTTTTTTCCTTCAAAATTGTTCTTTATGCATGTATATATTTAAAAAGTTTTACATCTTGTTTATTTTTATATACATTTTTACAATGTTTAGTGTATTTAAAATTGTTTTTAATCCAAATAATAAAATGTTTAATTTTTGTATCAAAAAACATTTCACGGTTTGTGTCGGTCATTATTTGATTCTGTAACAACATTTGTAGAAAACTAGGCATTTATTTAATTTATTAACCCCCTCCCCCCCCCTGGACTTTGCCCCTTCCCCCTTCCCAAAACCCTGGCATGCAATCATCATATTAATGAAAAGTACTAATATGTAAAATCTGATGTTCTTTATAAAAAATATGCATTAATTCTACTTCAAAAGCTAACAATAATATACTTAACAGATGGTATTTCTTAAAGACGTTACAGAGAGTGAGAGATCTGAAGTAGTCATCTTTGTATCAGCAAGTCAGGGACACACCAGGAGAGGAGATCGGGTTGTAGTAGGAAGAGAACATGGTCTATTGTCCTCTTCCTTTATAGGCAAAATTACGTCATAACGTTTGATTTAGACTCTGGCCAAATAAGGAAGTTCCCCATATAAGGACCCTACTCCCAATTTCCCTATACAGCACATTCCGGAGTCCTCATGGTCCAGAATAGCAAACACCATCTGTTCTTTTTAACCCATTAGACCGCCACACCTTAATATGTATTTGAATAGGAACATGTAGAATATGCAATATTCTACATACACACTGTGCTACTCCCTTCAGCCAGGATATGATATTATACTGGAATCGGAATCACTAGACAACACACATTGGTAATGTGTAGAGAGACCACAGTGATCGCAGCTCCAACCACTGGCCACATGGTAGAGAATCCGCTTCAACCTTCCCAGATAAAGGTAGGAAGGCTGGTTAGACCTTTGTGTGCTAGTTGTAGTTTCCTGTGAGCTTGGAATCACGGTGGTAGTAGCTCCAGTTTCATAATTTAATTCAGCTTAATTTGTATCAATAGCTAAAAATTATCACCTGTGATAATTTTTAGGCCTAGTGGTATGTAAAAGCAAAATTAACAAAATTAAGTTATGCTGCATTGAGTCAGATGCAGTAAGACTAGCTGTGTGTGCTTTTAAACTTGTTAATAGACTTTTTGAAAAATACTAATTAAGATCTTACTTTTTCAACAGTAATAATCATCCAAGCTAATGAACATTTATTAGCAATCCCCGTTCACTTATTACAAAACTCAGGATTATGATCATGGTTGTCCGCAGGAATTTTTCCAGGGGGGAGGGGGGTCATAATTGTAATGACATCCATGCTTTGTACCTTTTTGACAGTGTCATGAAAGGGAAGGGGCATAGTCATTATCACATAAAGCCAGGGTGAAAAGCAAATTAAAGGAACATTCTGGTCACCATAACAACTTCATATAAATGAAAATGCTATGATGCCAGGAAGCCCCTGGGTGCTCTCTTTTTTAAACCACTCTCAAATGGTTTAACCCCAAAGGCTTCATCCAGCTACAGATCGCTTAGTGGTATTCGGCTTTTGAAACGGAGTGTCAGGAAGTGCAGGCATGGGTGCTACAGATTTGCTAGAGTGGTTAGTTGACGCTCTAAGCCAATTGCAAGTTCCTGGTTCATAAAAATATTTTACTTTTTTATGAATGGGGAGCTACTGATTGGCTTAAAGGGGCAGCTGACCGCTCTAGCAAATCAGCGACACCCCTATCCAGCACTCTGTGCTTCCTGACACTGAGTAAATAACAATGAACACATTAACACAGATATTTTTTGTATTTTTTTTATCTGGGGAGATGAGAAGGTCCAAAGTTTCCCTGCCAGGCCCAGGTACCAAAGCCTTATGATGTGGTATCCAGAATAAAGTGGAGGGTTCACTTGTCCTTCCTGCTACAATCTCCTTTTCTTCTCCTTCATTTGACACAGTCTTCTTTTTCTTCTGACACTGTCTTCTCTCCTCCTTGGCGCCTTCTGCTACATTCTGCTTATTTTGCTCCCCCTTTTGCTCCTTTCTCTTTCTGATCCCTCTCTGCCCCTTCTCCTACTTTACCTTTGTGATCCTTGCTGTCCCTTTCTGTGCCTTGCTACCCTTTTCTGCTCCTTCTCCTACTTTACCTTTGTGCTCCTTCTGATTCTTTCTGCTCCTTTACCTTTGTGCTCCTTCTGTCCCTTTCTGCTCTTTGCAGACCATTCATTCTCCTTGCAGACCCTTCCTGCTCCTTGCTGCCCCTTCCTGCTAATTTCTGCTCCTTCTCCTACTTTACGTTTGTGCTCCTTCTTCCCCTTCCAGCTCATTGCTGACCCTTTCTGCTCCTTGATGTCCCTTCCTGCTCATTTCTGTTCCTTCTCCTACTTCACCTTTGTGCTTCTTCTATCTCTTCCTGCTCCTTGCTGCCCTTTCCAGCTCCTTGCTGACCCTTTCTGCTCCTTCTACTTTACCTTTGTGCTGCTTTACCTTCCAGCTCTTTGCTGACCCTTCCTGCTTCTTGCTGACCCTTCCTTCTCCTTGCTGACCCTTCCTGCTCCTTGCTGCCCATTACTGCTCATTTCTGTTCCTTTGTGCTCCTTCTCCTACTTTACCTTTTGTGCTCTTTTCTGTCCCTTCTAGCTCCTTGCTGCCCCTTTCTGCTCCTTGATGTCCCTTCCTGCTAATTCCTGTTCCTTCTCCTTTCTGCTCCTTCTCTTAATTTAACTTCCTGACCCTTCCTGTAGGCTGTCTCCCCCATCCCTTACTTACCTCATCTAAAGGCTACCTGCCCCCATCCCTCACTTACCTGATCTATAGGCTGTCTCCCCCCCATCCCTCACTTACATTATCTGTAGGTGGATCCCCCATCTCTAACTTACCTGATCTATAGGCTGCCCCCATCCCTCATTTCCCTGATCTATAGGCTGCCGCCCCCCATGCCTCACTTCCCTGATCTATAGGCTGCCGCCCCCCATGCCTCACTTCCCTGATCTGTAGGCTGCCGTCCCCCCAATGCCTCACTTCCCTGATCTTTAGGCTTCCGCCCCCCCATGCCTCACGTCCCTGATCTATAGGCCGCCCCCCCATGCCTCACTTCCCTGATATGTAGGCTGCACCCCTATGCCTCACTTCCCTTATATATATAGGCTGCCCCCCATGCCTCACTTCTATGATATATAGGCTTCCCCCCCATGCCTCACTTCCCTGATATAGAGGCTGCCCCCATGCCTCACTTCCCTGATCTATAGGCTGCTTTCCCCATGCCTCACTGCCCTGATATATAGGCAGCCCCCCCATGCCTCACTTCCCTGACCTATAGGCTGCTTTCCCCATGCCTCACTTCCCTGATATATTGCCCCCCATGCCTCAAGTCCCTAATCTATGGGCTGCTTTCCCCATGCCTCACTGCCCTGATATATAGGCAGCCCCCCCATGCCTCACTTCCCTGACCTATAGGCTGCTTTCCCCATGCCTCACTGCCCTGATATATAGGCAGCCCCCCCATGCCTCACTTCCCTGACCTATAGGCTGCTTTCCCCATGCCTCACTGCCCTGATATAGGCTGCCCCCATGCCTCCTTCCCTGATCTATGGGCTTAACCATGCCTCCACTGCCTGATATGGGCAGCCCCATGCCTCAGCTTCCTGACCTGGGCTGCCCCCCATGCCTCCTTCCTGATATAGGCTGCCCCCCATGCCTCACGTCCCTAATATATATACTGCCCCCCCATGCCTCACTTACCTGATCTGTAGGCTGTCTCTGCACTATTTCAGTGTATTTCAAATCTCACACGAAAAATAGCAGAACAAGCTGAAAAATCCAAGTGCCCCCCCCCCCCTGTGGACACCCATAATTATGATATCCAATGGTAGAAGAATTCTTCAAACGAAAGCCTCAGTTTCTCTTAGTTCTGCATTAATCTGGAAAGACGATTCCATGAAAATCCAAAACAACTTCTTTGTGTTTTAACTTAATTAATTAACCATATCATTATTTAATAGATTCCGTATCAGATAATTCCTTTGTTGTGTTAGGTCAAACCAGTTTGGCGGCCTTATCCTCAGATACAGTTTCTGCCAGGTTCAATAAAGCCCTACAAAAGAATGTAATAACAGTGCCAGAAATATAATTGTGACAGTGAAACAATGAATACATTGATTGACTATATTTTTACAGTGGGCAATGAATCGTGCACATTGATGTTGACTGTGGCAACTAGAAAAATCTAATGTCTAGCATGGAAACTAGTTGGTAAGGAAAACTGGTTGGTAAAGGGATTTGAAAAGGTTATGGTGCTTGGAGTCTAAAATCCACACATAAACAGCTTAACGACTTTGCTGCCACATCTGGCAGCATATTCATAAGACATCCAATGGCAGCATGCTCCCCCCCACTCCACCCCTCCCCCTCCTCCATACTCTGTTTTGTCCACCCTTCAGCTTGTCCTCCTTCACATCCCTTTCCCTTTATTAAAGGGGGGCTGATGTCAGCAGATGATGACTGGGTTTCTGGTCATTTAATGCTGAAATTGTCTACCATCACTCACTACAGAGTTCAAAACTGCAACTGGAAGCAACATCAGTACTAGAACTACATGTCGGGCGTTTCATGAAATGGTATTCCGTGGCCGAGCAGCTGTACACAAGTCTCACATCAACATACGCAATGCCAAGCTAGAGCAGTGTAAACCACAGATGCATTGTATACTGCCTAAAACATATATACTATATTCTTTATATTCTGTTATTTTATCCATTCAGTTTTTGGATGGCTCTAGAGCATGTTTATGAGATTAATCGACAGAAGTTGAAAAAAAAGACTAGAAACAAGATTGTGAGAAATGTTCATGAAGTCCACGTGTTTACTATTGGCTGTGTAAGAGAACATCAGAACATCAGTGAGATGGACTCCAGACAGATAAGCCAGGAGTGATAGACAGGCAAAGAAACACCATGGCAGCAACCTTGAGAAACAGCTAAATGTAAAGTAAACCTCCACTTAGCTTCGCCCTCTAGAGCAATAAAACGGAGCATTGCACTTTGGGAGATTTTTTCAAAACATTCCTAAGCAACAGTACCACTTTGAAGAGCCTCCGTGTAGTTAAACTCAACAGGCAGACAGTTGCTCAGAGCGGTCTCTGCAAAGACTTTT